CTTTTTTACATTCATTAACACACTCTAATATCATATAGTTAATTATCAATTTGGGTGTGAAAATTTGTTTTAATAAAAAAAATTCTTTTAATTTGGCATTGATTTTAAATAAATTTTTTTTAGGTTTTGATAATTTATTATTATATTCTTTTATTGCAATATAGCTCCATCTAATCTTCAAACACATTCTAACTATAATCGTGCAACGCATAGATCAATATATTTAATTTATACATAATTTTTTTTTCCTTTTTCTTAAACACTTAAAACTTATATTTTCTATATTTTTTTGGGTTAAAATCATTGGTTCCAATATTAAATTATTAAATATATATATTTTTCTTGGATTATGATGTAGAACTACGTACATTTTTACATAAAGATCATATATCATTACCCATGTATTTTGTTGTACAATTTATGAATAATGTCACTATTTATTTTTTATTTTATATGTATTAAAACTTACGTTTTTTTATAGGGACAATTGCAAAAATACCACTATTGGTGTGCCACTAATACAATATAGTTAATCCAAATATAAATGATATAATGAATAAATAATTTTTAAAAAAATGTCATTTATCAAAATTTCTCTTTTTATATTTATTTTTATGGTATTACAGCGTTTTCAATTTTTTTATTTTACATTTCCAAAGAAAATCAAATATAAAATTTTGAATAAAATCTTATATTTCAAAATTTCACCTTATTTTCTCATATATAGTGAAATTGTTCAATATCCTCTTTTTGAATAAAATATTTTTCCCATCTATTAGTAAAAGTTAATTTCTCAAAATTTCTCTTAGTGAAATCACATATCTTCTTTCTTTTTAAATTTTCAACCTCTTAATAATCGGTTGAAGCACAATTATGATGATTCAATAAATAACATAATTTTTTTTTCTGTTATCTCATATCATTCTTTTACATTTTTATTCATCGCGCTAATATATAAACTCATAATATTTTGATTACTTTCTAATGAACTACAATATAAATGAAATATATTTATTATTGTAAATTTTATTTAGAAAATAAAATACTCAAATAATCATAAAATATGGTTCGCGTGATACATGAGTTATACAATTTTATTAAACTTAAAGGCAAAAATTTGATTTAACAATTTACAAGTTTATGCTACTTTTAATCATTCATTTACTTATTTTTACTAGAATATAACTCGCGCGTTGTGCGATTTTTTTATTACACCAATTTATACCTCTTATATCTTTTAAATATATAACACTTTAATTTTTTCTTTCATACTTCCATGAAATTCAAATCTGACATTATGAACAAAATCGTATATTCTAAATTTTCATCTTATTATCTCATCTTTAATGAGATGGTTCAATATCCTTTTAGTGAAATAATATATATTATTTCTCTATAGATCAACAGTCTCTTAGTAATCGTTTGACACTCATATTATTTATTATTCTTTTCTTTGATGTCGTTTATAGTT